CCTTGATAAGAATTATTATGACTTACCTCCCCTGATTTAGTTCCCCCAAGAATATAATAGACTGGTGCTAGTACCTCCTCATTTGCCAACATGTCAAGAGCTTGCTTATAACTGAAACAAATAGCCATCAAGGAAAATAATAAATTATTTTATGGCTATGAATGAACATGAATGTCAATGTCAGAATATACCACTTCAAGTGCTTTTGTACTCTCTAAATGAAAAACTGGGTCTCTAATAAACATTGGGTCTTCAAGATAAAATTTAAATAAGACCCTCCTAGCATTTATTCAAGGAACATAATAAGGTTTAGGTATAATGCTAAGATTTGTGGCTGTCAAATAATAATCAATAGTATATTTATAAAAAGCCTTGCTTTACAAGTTGTGGCTTTGGATATACTACTGGTCGGAGTCAAACAAATGCCTGGTCCACTAGGCCAAAGTTCAAAATAGTTACATGGAGGTCTTTTAAGTGAGACTGAACACAGTCAATTACCTGGACGGTATAACAAACTATTACCTTGTAGCAGTTTCAAGTACATCACGTGAAAGAAAACTTGTCCACTTCACATCTCTCTTACCAAATATCCACTCTATTATTCCTGTAAGAGCACATCGAAGAGGTGAATAAAGTTTTCAACTGCTTTCTAATTTGTCACCTTCAATAGAAACAGCCTGAAAGATTCGGAAGTTTCAAAAAAGGTAAAAGTTTGTTTCAGCTTATTTCAGTTTCTATAAAATTTGATTACTGAGTCTTGATGACTTGCAAACTTTGATCAATCAATGCTTTCATGTTTTGCAGCTGTCAGTCATCTCAACAGACCTCTTGCAAAACAGAAGTTTATTTCAACAGATTCAAAAGGTCAGCAGGGGTTTCAATTTGGGACTGGGCACCAGGTAAATTAATCAGTTGTGAGGACAATTTTGCTTGCCTAGCTTGATCATCTAGAAGATAGGTTTTTCACGTAAAGAAATCTTTGTCAAAGAGTTTTGCCTGCATTTTTAGCAGTTGCCTCCCTGCTAAAAACATTTACTAATAAATGAAATCTCTGGGTCACGTCTTTTGGATGTGATCAGTAGCTTTTGGTCCAAATTGTTTGTTTCTTTTCTTCAAGGTTCCTTGGTTGTTATCATTATGATTGATTACAATGCACCATAATCATTTGCTAGGTTTTGAACTTCGGAGTTTGTGTAGTATTGAAATGTGCAGTAAGTGACTAACCCCCAACCCCCCTGAATGAGATGCTAGTCCATCACACAGGCTTACCCCCCTGGCAGCATTAGATTAAAAAATTTATAGCCTGAGCAGGTTGAGGCAAGAATCTGATTTATTCCCCCTTAGTACAAGTGTAGGTCACAAGGTCAGTCAAGCTACATGCATGCATACAACACCTTTATCCCAATTCATCTCCAGTGTACAATATATTGTTGTCTAGTAAACAGTCAGTCCGAGCTAGGGCAAGCAGCACATAGCCAGTGATACTTTGTGGGTACTGAGAGAAGACCTAAATTTGACAATGTAGTTTATTGTAAAATAACTTTACAGAGGCTCTCTTACCAATATATCCACCATCAATGTTGAATCGTTCATTAATCGTCAGGGTCAGCACACCCTAGAAAGGCAAAACTGAAGGCATTAGAAAATGNTACCCATTAATACACCTGGGTGAGTAGAGGCACTGAGAGTAAAATGTCTTGCCCAAGAACACAAAACAATGTCCCCGGCCAGGGCTCAAACCTGGACTGCTCGATCCGGAGGCAAGCACATTAACCATGAGGCCACCACTGTTTTCATACAATTTGAAATATTCAGGAGTAAGCAAAAACTAAAACAAGGAGAATATACATACCAAATCTTTGTCAATAAACCCAAACAGCTTTCCATTCATAATAAAGCTTGTGAAGTTCTTGATGTAACTCAGCAGATTATAAAGCTTCAAATAAAAAGAAAATACTAGATTTCAAAACCATCATCCCCTTCACTTATTACATTTACATTTATTTACATCTTCAATCAAATCTTGTTATTTAAATCATGCAACCAAGTCAATAAATAGGTTATTTTTATGTTACCAGAATAACAGTAGAGCTAACTGGCTTGTGAGCAAGATTTTTTGGTAAAGAGCTGGCTCACGGACTATAGAACTATAAACTTGCAATAGAGGCTATCATGGTTATAGGGAAACTAATTTAAAAAACAATTTGCAAGTAAAATGAAGACAATAATGATGAAATGTGGCACAAGCATGGGACAAAGAAAAAGATCTGAGTGGTATTAGAACCCATGACCTCCCAGGCACTGGTTGGGTGCTCCAACCACTGAGCCACAGAGATCTCTTGGTGAGCTAGGCGATTCTACTAGGTTCACCTTTCTGTGAAGTTCTAGTTCCAGACCAAACCTGAACATGAGAATATAAACACTGTGTTCACTGTCAATCAGCTCATCTCACCTGCTTTGTTTTCTTGCTTGCAAGGTCATTGTACCTTTGGTTTGCTGGTAAATCAAGATTTACAACTTCCCAACCCACTGGACTGAATGAATAGATAAAAAAGAGTTTACTCAGTTATTACTTAGCAATTTGAGTTGACAGTGGTAGTTGGTTAGACTGGTTAGACTGTTGAGGGGATTCCCCTGCGGTCAGGAATGCTTCTCATCCTGCTTGCGGGTGTAAATCACAGACTTAGGTCTGACTTACAGTGTTTAGGACGAAACATCACTTTTTTAACCACCAAGGTATCTTTTATGGTTGCCCTCAAAGAAATAAATGATATACAAAACACTGTTGGGAGTTGTCATCCCCAGAAGGCCCTATGTTCCAGAGGGAATGAAGAGGAATAAGTCAAGTAAATCATCCCCAGGAAAAATGCTCCACAGTATAATGTATTTATTCCCCTCTGAGTGTTTACCAGCTGGTTAATTTTGAGAGCCATAGACTTATCAGTAAGTCACTGCATAGCACATATAATACTATGCCAGTTAATAAATGTTAATTCTGTTGGTGTCATGTAATGTATGAATCAATACATTTTTTTTTAATTAAACTGTAGTCATACCTTTCAGTTGGTGGATAGGCATTAGTGATACATTCCTGATCTGAAAGCTGGAATCACACAAACATGAAAACATGTTGATATAGTTCATCCATAAACTGGAAGTTCTCAAAGAGACAACTAGTGCTACTTCCCTTAGAACTGGAGCCAAAGCCTGTGCTAGTAATAATATTGCGGAGTGGCTGATGAAGGAATCAACACTAGCGGTGTGACTCCACTAACTTAGTAACCCAGTCACACCTATACATGTACCTAATTTCAATAAACAAAACAGATCTTACTTCTAGATCATTGGCTGCCTTCATCAATTCAGCTCAAAGTCAAACAGTTGAGACACACTGTTTGCCAGGGGCCGCATGGCAAAACCATGATGGACTTTAATAAAGGTTAAAGCTTTCAGTTCTCCCGCATTTCAAGGGTGCATTTCAGCTTTTAATTGGTGTGCTTTTCAAAGATGCATAATTTGGCAAGCTGTAACTTTCCAGCCAAAGAGGGTTGCTCACACAATCACCAAATCATGGAGAATCAATCACCAATGGCATTAAACAACTTAACTGCAAATTTCAGTCTGCACAACTCTAAAGCAATGCTGTCATTCTGATGGCTTGAAGAGATTCTCCAAAGAAGAATGGCTAAATGCTTGCCAATTTTTCAGAACTTCACTTTGAAAGAAACCTTTTATCATACATTGATATGCTACATAACTAGTGTCACATTATTCTCGCCAATGTTTGGGAGGAAATGGACTCTCCATGTGTTTTTGTTTATATCACAAGTGAATTTTAGCTTTCAGTTCATTTTGGTTGGCTGGTTGATCATTTGCAGGAGATCAGTGAAGTGCAAGTAATTAGGAGGTGTTTCTCGTTTTCACAGCCTTTGTGAGTAGCCGTTTTTTTTCCCCTCCTTCTGCCCCCACCCCCTCCCCACCCACTTTTCCTAAGCCAACATGGCGGCGAACTTTCCCATACCGATAGTAACTCGTGACCAGACGGAAAACGCCTGTAATGCAGGCTACCACACACCTTTAAAAAGTTTTCAAAAATAGGGTTCCTTTTAATCTGAGGAAAGAGTCACCTCGCAGTTTAGTATATGGCTTGATTAAGTTTCAAGCTGACAACATTTTTATAAAGCTATTCTAAGCTATCAAACAACACGCAATAATTAAAAATTTAAGCTTTTCAAATAAATCTTCGTTAGGCTTACGTTCACGATTAAGGATGAAATCTCGAGTTCCCCATCTTACTAATTTTAAGATGATTGTATGCATCTCTAGCTACGCTTCGCAATTGTAAGCTTCAATCGTCGATCGCAATAACACAGAACTGAAAATGACAAGATTTTACCCCCAACTACACACTATGCTAAGTAAAGACTCTAACATACGCTATAATTTCCGCTATTGTACTTTACCGTTGAAGCCGAAACTGCTCCAAGGAACAGTATACATGTAAGGAAGACCCAAGTCTGCTCCATGACTGCTTGGAAGTGAAAAATAAGCCTTCACGAGCTTTCATAAGAGCCCCGCTGGCATGACATACGAAATCAGAAGCAAGTCATATGACCCAACAATGTCACACTCTGCAGAGAGGGATAAGGCACTTTTACAATAACAAAGCTTGTTACAAGTGAATATATGAAAGGTTAATATATTTTAACTACGGAGAAAGATATGAAGACATCATTGATCATCGCAGTTATACACACAACTTATTTTTAAGCAGTTGTGAAATTAAAGCCTGAAAAAATTAAATTCAGGCCTTAACGGCCTGTTGCCCGTTTAGGCCTGAAATTTTTTTAGGCTTTATGTGTTTCGTACTGTTTCGTTTCGTTTCGCTAAATACAGTAAGCCCTCTTTAATTTCACAACTGCGATGATCAATCATGTCTTCATAACAAAACTTGTTATCGTTTGCGTCTGTTTGTGTTTTGGAGTATCTACTTCGTTGTCTGGTAAAAAAACAACAGTTTCCGTGAAATCTGACCTTCCCTCCTCCCGTCGTCAAGACTTATTTTGACCGAAATATGACAAATCGGCCTTACCCCTACCCGGTGTGTCAGTTTCTTTGCAAATTCAAAGGAATACGATATTCAGCATTTATAAGATGTCAAAGTACCGAAATTCGCATGATTAGTACCTGACATACTATATACACATATCTCATGTTCTCCAAGAAAGAAGAAAGATTATTATATGGCTAGCTCCGTGAGCGGGCAAGATGAATCAAATCCTGCGCTGTGATTAGCTACCCGAGCGGGCAAGATGGAGCTATCTTTCCCGCTCGGGACTACCCGCCATGTCCCGCAAGAAAAATTTTCCCGAAAGCCATATAATAAATCCTTTATTGACCAAGCTTGTTCGGCCAAGATGGCTGGATATTGTCCTCGTCCTCGTCCTCACACTTGGTCAATAACCCATATATATACCGAGGGTACCAGGCTGCAACAATGGAATGCCCGCAGCAAGCCGAAGCTGTGTAATCAGGCGGCGCGGCTCAAATGTGATTGGTTGATAGCGAGAGACAGACAGTACAGATGTGGCACCATAACAAGGACCTTCTTTTGTTCGGAGAATTCCCTCGTGCATGACCGATCTGCTTGGCAAAATGAGGTGTTCAAAAGTTAGATTTATCGTTGTTGTGTTGATCTTCAGCATAGTTGCTGGACTGCACCTTCTGCTCTCGCATTCAGAAGGTGACGATAGAGCAGGTTCACATTCAACGCCACTGTTCTCGAGCAAATGGCGATCAGAGGCAAAACCACAAGGAGAAACGTGNTTCGTTTCATTTCGCAAAATACGGTAAGCCCTCTTTAATTTCACAACTGTGATGATCAATCATATCGATCATGTCTTCATAACAAAACTTGTTATCGTTTGGGTCTGTTTGTGTTTTGGAGTATCTATTTCGTTGTCTGGTAAAAAAACAACAGTTTCCGTGAAATCTGACCTTCCCTCCTCCCGTCGTCAAGACTTATTTTGACCGAAATATGACAAATCGGCCTTACCCCTACCCGGTGTGTCAGTTTCTTTGCAAATTCAAAGAAATACGATATTCTGCATTTATGAGATGTCAAAGTACCGAAGTTCGCATGACTAGTACCTAACATACTATAAATACATATCTCATGTACTCCAAGAAAGAAGAAAGAATATACCGAGAGCACCGGGCTGCAACAATGGAATGCCCGCAGCAAGCCGAAGCGTGTAATCAGGCGGCGCGGCTCAAATGTGATTGGTTGATAGCGAGAGACAGACAGTACAGATGTGGCACATAACAAGGACCCTTCTTTTGTTCGGAGAATTCCCTCGTGCATGACCGATCTGCTTGGCAAAATGAGGTGTTCAAAAGTCAGATTTATCGTTGTGGTGTTGATCTTCAGCATAGTTGCTGGAGTGCACCTTCTGCTCTCGCATTCAGAAGGTGACGATAGAACAGGTTCACATTCAACGCCACTGTTCTCGAGCAAATGGCGATCAGAGGCAAAACCACAAGGAGAAACGTGGATTTCCGGTAAGCATTTATAACCTTCGGAAGCTTCAAGACAATGATGAACACGTACCAATTTATCCCAGAATCTTTAACTTTTCATTCCTTTTTTAGATTGATTCTTTTTCCCTTGGTTACACAAATGGGGTATTGTAAATCTAAGTTCGTTTGTCAATGCAAGGTCAAATGGCTGGTTGTGTTCAACAGATTATTCGGGACGCTGTATCTCCGGGCGATGTAAATTTAAAATACAATTGCGCTTTCATAACTTTCTTACAATTCGCTCGTAATTTACTTCGACTTATTTTGTATGCAAATACGGGAGAGTAATAAGTGGTTATGAATACTAAATGCTACAAAGTTAAATAATGGAGTCTATGTGAAGACAAGAGTTGTGTGCTTGTTGAAAGGATCATATTTGGACAAGTTGTCGTAAATGTTTTGCTTATAGTACGTAAAATTTTGTCATTGTTGTTTTATGAATCAGGCGTCGTAGTTTTACGAAAAAAAATCTGTAGTTAACTATGATGAATCCTAAAGCGCAAGTTCATTACATGACTTTTGTTTAACCAGCTGACACCTTCACGTGGTAAACAAACGGACTAAAAACCTTTTATTTTAAATTTTGTTTCAAGAAAGTCGTGGTAGTAATCATAGTAATCATAAAAAAAAATGTTTGTAACAATATTTTGTACGATTCACTTTTGAAAATGTTTGGGAAATTAAAGAGATTTCTTGTAGCAAAATAATTTTCCTCGTATAAACAGTGTGTGTAAAAGATATATTTTGTGAAATTTTACTGTGACGCCTGGTTGACGTCAAAGTTCATGTGAATCCGGATCCTGGACAAAATTGCCTTAAGCTAGACTCCTTTTAAGAAAACCTTAATTGTAAAATTTTATTTTTGTCAAATTTAAATTATAAATCTTAATTTAATGAATGTTAGGGGAAGAAAATATCAATAATTTACTTTAATATATATTTTGCCAACAAACACAAGCTGTCTTAATTTTCAAATGTTAAATATTATTGTTGTGTGGGAATTGTGTCGAACAAATCGAGGGTAAAACAAATCAGTTAACAACAAATCAATTTCTGGTTCTTAAAGTGTTTTAAACTGCTTTCTGATTCTTACTCTAAAGACTCAGCCTGATTTTAGCCTTGTGTACACATATTTATTTGTGACAAAAAACATGCTGCCTTCATGAAGGGTTTCAAGCAACTTCAAGTTGAAGTGTAAATTTCTCATTGGCATCGTATGTTTCCTTGTGCCATGAGTATAGCCATATAAGGCTGTCACATTGCCGATCTCTGTTCTTAGCTGTCAGTACATAATGTGTAGTGAAGCAGATTGCTAGTTAACTAACATTGCTAAATACATTTTGATTAAGCCCCACAAGGTTTTAAAACTATTTATAATACAGGTAAACCTATTGGTTTTTTGACCAATCAGAGCATGCGCAGGGTCCTGCACACGCTCTGATTGGTCACAAAACCCATGTTTTATCAGAGTATAAAACAGAGAAAACGTGTTTTATTGTTTTTTGCCTATATCATAAAGCAAATGAAGAAGCCTAAGCCGTGTATTACACTGTGATAAAATACTCCAAACATTTGAGAACACTCAAGAAATGTAGAAAACACTCCTCGTGTTTTCTACATTTCCCTCATGTTCTCAAATGCTTGTTGTGTTTTATCACAGTATAATACACAGCTTAAGCTTCTTTATTTGTTAATTAACCTTGTAACTTGAAATCAAGGCTTTCTGTAACAGTACTGAGCTTTTTATGTTTTACTTTGGTTTACAGAACTTAGAGGAATAACTGTAAAAAATTCTGTGGTAAGTGGAAGTTTCTTCAGATTGAGACACACTAGAGCATTAGGAGAAAATTCAGGACTTTCTGATCTGTTATCCAATCGAGGATTGGTTGTGTTCTTGGCAAGTCTGTAATAGACTACAGCTGTATGTGTAGCATCCTATTTAGTGGGAACAAAAAAATATATATTCCAGTAGTAACATTGTGTTATAGAGATCTTGGGTAAGCACTGTCCGCTGTGCCTGAGGGCTGACTATTAGCATGAGTTTGTCATATTCAGAGTGATCTAATCCAGGAGCTTGTAGTAACAACTTTGAATTCACGTTATAAAACATTACTTTAATTCATGGATGAACTTTTTAGTGCATTAGTGAAGAGACATCCATTCTTGTTAATTTTGGTAGCAGGTCTAATAGGTGAATCTCCAATTGCTCAAGGTTTATTTTGTTGAATAAGTTAACAAGTCTGCATTCAAGTGCAGCTAATGGCTCATCAGGCCAGCACCCCTTAATCTCAATTTTCCATAGCACAAAGCAACCAGGAGTGTTTCTGCTCCTCCCTGGATTGGGTGGTAGTACATCGAAGGGTTACCCCAAGTGTTATATTTGCTGGTGCCCATTTATACACCTGGGTGGAAAGAGGTGCTGGACAGCTCAATCCACAGGAGGGAACTACCTATTACGTCACATAACCTCCTAAGATGTGTTGAATAGCAGAGGACTAACTTAATTTGTTTCTTTAACATTACTGGGATTGTATTATTATTGATCGGTCTTCTTTAATTATCTTGTCATTTCTCCATTACAGGTCTCCAGTGAACAAAGGCTGAAATCCTTGAGACAAGTATGTGGAAACACAAGGAAATCGTGGGATTCCCTCTCTGTCACAGAGAAAGGGATCCTAGCCAAACACATCTTGGTTAATGATGAGCACAAGTTTCTGTACTGTTCAGTGCCCAAAGTTGCTNTTAGCGTCACCTTGTGAAATGCATAGTCACTTAATCCAGGATTAATACCGACAACTTTGAATTCATGAGATACATAGTCTTTATATCATATAAAGTCTGCACATGAACCAAGTGGCTCATCAGGCCAGAGCTTACATGTATTCCGGTTTCTGTAACATGAAGCGATTAGGAGTATTTCTACTCCCCCCTGGATGGGATGCTAGTCTGTCACAGGGTTACCCCCAGCATTAAGTTCACGTGTACAAATTTATACACCTGGGTCAGGGTGGAAAGAGGCACTGCGAGAGCAAAGTGTCTTGCCCAAGAACACAGCACAATGTCCCCAGCCAGGGCTCAAACCTGGACTGCTTGGTGCGGAGGCAAGTGCACTAACCATGAGGTCACGGTGCTTCCCTTTATATCATATGGTCCATTAATTTTGGTAACAGGTCTAACAGGTCCATCTCCAACTGCTCAAAGTTCAGATATGTTAATTAAGGTGATTAGTCTGCATTCAAACCTAGTTAGGGTTAGGGCCCATCAAGCTAGCGCTTATCTCCAGTTTCCATAGCATAACGTAACCTGTCGTGGATGACATGCTAATCCATTGGAGGACTACCCAGAGTATTAAATTTTCTGGTAATAATTTATACACCCGGGTGGAGAGAGGTGGAGAGAGACACTGTGAGAGTGAAGTGTCTTACCCAAGAACACAACACATGACCCTAGCCAGGGCTTGAACCTGGACCACTTAATCTAGAGTTCAGGGTACTTAAACCATTAGGCCACTACACCTACTAAGATGGGTCAGATTGCAGAAGACTATTGTAACTTGTTCCTTTGCTGGTATCATATTATTATTTATCAATCTTCTTTATCTTGTCATTTCTCCGTTACAGGTCTCCAGTGAACAAAGGCTGAAATCCTTGAGACAAGTATGTGGAAACACAAGGCAATCGTGGGATTCCCTTTCGGTCACAGAGAAAGAGATCCTAGCCAAACACATCTTGGTTAATGATGAGCACAAGTTTCTGTACTGTTCAGTGCCCAAAGTTGCTTGTTCAAACTGGAAAAGAGTCATGATGGTACTGGATGGTGAAGCTACTGACACTAATTCCATCCTCATTGTTAATCACATGAGTTTTACATTCCTAGGAGATTTACCACCCTTGGCTGTCAAACGCAAACTCCAAGAGTATTATAAATTCATGTTTGTAAGGGAACCTCTTGTCAGAATTCTGTCAGCATATAAAGACAAGTTCTTGTTAAACAACACCTCTTTTCATAAAAGCTATGGAAGAAAAATTGTCAAGCATGTGCGGAAGAATGCTGCAGCAAACTCCAAAGGAGATGACGTCTCACTAGAAGAGTTTTTGCAGTATGTAGCAGAGAGTCCTGTGGAAGACATGAATGAGCACTGGATGCCATTCTATGAATTGTGCCAACCTTGTGCTGTTTCATACGACTTTGTTGGATCCTTTGAGAATCTGGAGTTGGATGCTAATCAAGTACTGAAAGAGCTTAATGTGAATGACCAAGTTTCTTTTCCTAAACAACAGAAGTATTATAAAGCAGGTGGTAAAGGATATGTAACAAGTAAGAAATTCACAGATGTATCACCAGATATGTTGAAAAAAGCACTAAGAAAATATGATTTGGACTACAAATTATTTTCATATCAAAAACCAAATATTTAAAATGATTTGAATTTATTTTTCACTTTGTGCACTCAGTTTTTAATCCTACTCACTCAATGCACATCTGATAATTGAGTCCCCCCCACCTCCCCCCACTTCCAAAACCCCCAATCCATCAAGTTGATGACTTAGCCCTACAGAGATTAGGCGAAGACAAGCATCCAGATGTCTGTGTTTTGCAGGCTATATAGAGATCTGTGTCTGAATATCTTGCTGCTGCCTGAATTTCAATGTTCATTTTAAATTACAACTAAATTCTAAGATGCAGTTACAAGGCATTAAAATTGACGAGGGAACAGATTAAATTATAAACATTTAACACATTGAAACAGTGTGCTGGATGTTCTGCACGCATTGCATGCCTCTAATGCTAACCAACCATAAACTGCATGATGTGAGATTACAGAACACTTGCCCAAGTTAACTAAAGTAATAGAGCGGTTTTCAATTGAGTGTCAAAAAGTAATTGGTTTTGCATTTATGCTGGGCGATTGTCTTAAAAAAGCTCACGCCACTTTTTCATCCAATTTAAAGTAAAACAAAACCATTGGTGACTACCTTGCACACATTTTCCCACGCTTTGCGTGAGCTAAATGCAATTGCTTCACATTTTGATTGGTACATTGTATTGTTTGTGTCTTTTGTGACTGGCTAGAGTGATTACTTTGGTTTTGGTTTTATGACACTCAATTGAAAACTGCTCTAGAAGTAATTTACTATTCCTTAAAAGAGTAGTAAAAGTGTTATATTTTTAAAGAAAGATACATTAATAAATGAGTAAAGATTCTACTCACCTGTACAGACAAAAAACTGCTCTAGTACAAGTTGGTAGAATTTGACATGACAGGATGTTTCCAGTACAAATCACACAATTTGGACAGCTGGAAGGATAAGCATTTTATTTGTTTAATACTTCAGGAAAAATTATACCCATGGTGACGTCATAGACCTGTTTTTTTTAAGAACAATTATCACATATAAATTACGTAGGGCTCATTGTTAGGATATGTCTAATGTTGTAAAATATTTTGATTAAAAGTAGTCACAATTAAACAGATTTTAATGCTTGACTGGGGCATAGCCAGGAATTTCCAAAGGGGGATCACACTGTGTCAAAGTGGGGCACTCACCAGGTTGTCATGTCATTTTTGCCACCTGCTGTAGGTTTTTTTCTTAAAAAAGGCTTACAGAAGGGTGGGGGGGGGGGGGGGGTCACAGGCACCCGAGGACCCGCTAGCTACACCCCTGCTTCTTGGCTAAAATAAGAGGTGTTGTGTATTGTTCTTCTGACCCACAAGTTCATGCTCCGTAGTTGATGACCTAAAATTACCAAATATGATCTACCGTGGTATCTAAAATGACCTAACGCGATCTAATATGGACTGAATAATCTTAGATGATCAACAAAATGGATTTAATGATCCAAAATGACCAACAACCAGTTATACTTTGACCTAATATGTAACCCTATGACTCAAGAAAAACGACTCTCGCCAGTTAAAAACGAATTACCAAAATTACAAAGAATGATTACCTGAAACCTACACAGGTTACATGTATAACATTTGGTTGTCACGCAATGTTTCTTCTAATCTCTGCGTACCTGTTGACAAGAGTAATCAATATTGATCAATCGAAAAGCAGGTAACTAAACAATCCGAAAATTGTATAAGTGATTATTATTAACAATATTTTGATTCGTGTACTTTGAAGCTATATCCAAGTTAAACCACCACTTTGGAGTTTAGGTATATTTCCTCCAGTTATCCAGTTTCCTTGGAAGACAAGAAAGCATGAACGGAAAACTTCCACATTTTAAAAGGAAAGATATTGACAAAACATAATTTCCATGGAAACACTGACCAAACCCTAGGAGGAAAAAATTTGTCAACCTATGTTGGAAAAATGAAAAGAAATGATGTGCCAATATTTCTTGAAAACAAAATAACAGGGATTTGAAGTCTGTGCATACTACAATTTACCTAAAAAGGAACTGTTGAAGGTTGTTGAACTGCTCACCTTTAAGTTAATCACATGGGGGAAGATTTTTTAGAAGCGGCCATAAGGTGTTGTTTTCTGGATGAAAAATAGCAGTTGACTCTTGAGCTGATCATTACAGCAGCAGCATTTTTGAGAACTTGTCAAGTCTGCAAAATAAATAACCAAAATGTGATGCCTGCTTTCTCACCCTCTTCACTGCAAGTCTTATATTAATTACTTATATCACACATTTTGTCACATTTTTCACTTAACTGTAATCAATTTGTAGCCATCGTTTGAAAGACAATTTTTTCAGAAATCAAGAGTGAAATCAGAAACAAGTTATCTTTCCGTTGGAGTATCCGCGAATATCAAGTCAACGACCCAAAGTTAATGTTTTGTTTGTAAGACACACTAGTAAAATGATGTATGTGAATAAGTGGCATTGCAACGAATTCAAGAAAATCGCATCTTAGTTTGCAACGGAATCGCGAATATATCTTTTCTATGAAAAATGCATATTTTTTTGTAGGATGTGTCCGTTTCACCACGGTAGCTTCTAGAAATGAAATAGGATTGGTTACCTTTACAACTCACTACAAATTTCTCTAAGCATCCTTAGATTTTAATCCATCCCTGAAAATCAACCCCTTGTGGTTGTTTGTTAACCTTCATTTCTGATAAAACGACTCGAGATATAAACGATCGCTAGTAAGAACTATGCTTGATCGCGCCAACCGCTTGTCATCCTCACCCGACCTTTTTTCAAAAGAGTGTCAGGATCTGAAAACAATGTTTCTGAAACTGAAATAACCTGACAAAATTATTGATTCTACTTTCAAGAGATTCCACGCTTCCCAAGACCAGAACCAAAACCGAATTGAGCAGTGCTAAGCCTTGTACTAATCTCCTTGCCTGTCAAAGACTCGGAAATCCGCCGACTCCGTGCGCCCGCAACTAAACGACCTTGGAAAGAAAATCGATCGTGTATTACAACCTGCAGTTTTCACAAGTGGGAAAATCTTGGAAGATTTGTAAGTCACGAAAACAAAGCCCTCACTGGCAAACCAACAATGCGCTGTGTATGAATTTAATTGTAATTCGTGTAATGTGAATTATATAGGGTACACGAGCCGTCACCTTCACCTGCGCATTGAGGAGCACATATGTTATGTCATAGGTAAACATCTCAAGGACGAACACAATCGAAGACCCAACAATCTTTACGAGCAATTTGCCATCCTAAGGAAATGCCGCGGAAAGTTCGAGTGCCTTATTTATTAGATGCTTTAAATGAGGAAAAGAGACCGACTCTGAACACTCAAAAAGAC